GGTTAAATGTAACAAGTGTTTTAGGTACCAGGCCTGAGCTCTCAAAGAGAACTGGAGAGGTGCAGAGCTCACAACCACAGCAAATGAGGGACATGTGTCACGGCTGCACGCATCTTAGCAGGCAGCACCTGGGGGGCTGGATGAAGACAACTGCCAGCCCTGGCAGCAGACCTCTGCCACAGAGGCATTCCAAAATCCTCTGCTGCCTTTACTGCTTGCTTTCTGGCTTAAGCTACAACAGAAAAGGGTCTTTTGCAAAGAAGAGGTTAAATATAAATGCCTTTCACTCTAAAGCATGCTCTCTCCTGTGCACTAAGGATGACAATAAAACATCAGGCAGCTAGAGAGCAGGTTAAATGTGACCAAATAAGAAGGCAGATTGAACGTGGGTAGGCCCTAAGCAGGAGGCCCTTCGCTTTACAAACTCATTGCTCTCTATTTATAGCTTTCAGAGACCATCATTAGCAATAAAAGGGACCATAATTACTTCTGGAGACACAAAAAGATTATACAAATTTGTGTATATTTCTGAAAACATGGGAAAAGTGAGAGAAACGTTTAAAAGCAGCATGGATCTGCTGCCACATTGCTGTTAAATCCCACTGGCCTGTATGGTGCCCTAGGCCAGCAGCTCCTTCCTGCTCCAGAGCTGCGAATGCCACAGCTAGAGCCCAGTTCTGGGTTTCTGGTACCACACAGCCCAAACCCTGCAGCATTTGTGATTCCCTTCATTTTCGGATTGCGGCCATCTTCTCCACTGCTGCTGCTGTGGGCCCCCTCCCCTCAGGTTTCAGCAGACCCATAAATCCCCACATGCTACATAAACAGTGTGGCTTTTTTCAAGGCAAGAGCTTATTTTTTTGTGAATAACACTGCCCTGACAGGCACACTCACAGCCCTGCTGCTCCCCACCGGTGCTAACGCCTCAGGGGCCTCCTGCGCTCCTGTGAGCCCCCTCACGGCACCCCAGGAGTTGCAAAGGGCCGAGACCCTCACCTCACCTCACCTCACCTCACCTCACCTCACCTCACCTCACCACACTCACCTCACCTCACCCAGGCACCCTCTTCTTGCTGCCATGTGTGCACAGGACGACCTGGAGGAGGTGCTTGTCCACCCCGTGCTGAGCAGGCCGAGGTGGCGGTGGTTCCTCAGTTCCTCAGCCTTCCGCAGCAGCCGGAACCTTCCGGAACCCAGCCCTCAGAGGCATGGCGGCAGCCCAGGCCCAGCACCACCTTACCTCACGGCCATGTGCCGATGCCCAGCAGCAGCCGTGCTGTGTGGGTGCCCCCTTCCCTCCCCGGCACCCTGTCCTGTGAGCCCTCAGAGCCTGGAGCTGTTCTGGAGCAGTGCTGCCAGCGCAGTGATGGGGGAACACGAGGTGCTGGGGCTGGCTGTGGCCAGAGATCCAAAGAGGTTTTGTTCTCTCAGGCGTGTGCCAGCCGACCTCTGAGCCTGCAAGGCGAGTGGCCAGGCTGGGGGGAACCCAGCAGATACAAATCCAGCATTAATGAGAATACCCTGAGGCTGTGAGAGGGGCACAAGCCAGCAGATGCCCAAACCGACCAGCAACACAGCCCAAGGCGACCCAGGGACGTACCTGCAAAGCTTTTTCAAATGTGTCTGACTGAGAGAGTGTTTCAGGCAGGGAGGGTGGAGAAATCCTTCCTATGCTAAATCTGGAAGCAATGTGAGAAGCTCAGGTTAGAGATGAGAACAATCACCAGCAGCAACAGTTTTTGGTGCAGAGGTTTTCTTCCGGACCAGATCTGGGGGTTTTCATTTTCCCTTAATTTGGATTCACCTTTTTCAGTACACTGCTGTGAAAACCAGACCAATGGGGCTGAACTCTGCCCGTGCACAGTGTGCTGGGCAGGGACACTAGGGCACGCTGGGTGCAGCACGTGCAGACCCCAAAATGCTAACAGGGTGATGTTAATTCCACAACCAGGAGGATGCTGCCTCGCACATGGGACATCTGCTTCTGCTTCGGCATAGAAAGCAGGGACATGGTACTTACCGGGTTCGACGTTGGTGTGAGGAGGTTCTTTTTCATGGACATAAACAAGACACTCAACAGCTAGTATCTTTACTGAATGAATTTATTGGTTTTTGAACTAAAGTTGCTCACAGTTATTTAACAAGGGATACATCAGATTTTTTTGTCCATTTTAAACCATTAAATAATGTCAGTTTGTGTCTGTATATGTGTGTGTGCGCGCGTGTGTGTCTTCAAAGTACAAAATAGGAAGGATAACAAGAGGTATTGCTTTCATTTATTCTTATATCTTGTGTAAGTAATCCCCTTCCTGCTTGTACCACATGGGTTTTGCTGATATAGGTATTTTTAAATTATTATTATTATTTTGTATTGAAATCCCAGCCTTTTGTAGAGGTACAATGTAACAGAAGCATCAAAATCTATACACAAGGGAAGAGAAAAGAGGGAAAAGAAGGACGGGGGTGATGGGAGGGGAGCTTGGAGGAGAAGTAGAGAGAGGGTGGAGGCAGGAAAGACAACGAAAGCAAAAGAGACTAATTTACAGCAATGTCATGCAATTAAAACTGCCCCCCTCTCCTGCACCCTTGCCTCCCCCCCTCCCCAGCCATCACCCCCTGGTGTCTGACATGCACACAGCAATACGAGAGAAAAGGTTCAGAATAGGGAAAATAAATAAATAAATAAAAACAAAAAATAAAATAAATCCCTCCCATTTGGGGGAATGGGGAAACGGGGCCAAAGTCAAAGGTCTTTGCCCCACTTGTGTCTTTAAAAATTCTTTTTAATCTTCAAACCTATGTACAAGTAAAACTGGTCCAAGAAGGGGAAAAATGATGAAAAAAAAACAACAACGACAACAACAACAAAAAAGAACTCATCCAACATTATCATTAAAAAAAATAATCTTGCGATACAACATACACCCATAGGAACCCAACGAGCAGCAATCGAAGGTCATAAAAGAGCTGAACACTAATGCTAAGCCTACATTCTTAAAATCTCAGTCAAGAAGTATTTCTCACTGTGTTTTGTCTTCCACGCGTAAAACCACGTTTTTTTGTTTGTTTAACCTTTGAGCTTGGGCCAGAATAAGTTACACTTGGTCACGTAACTCTTGAGGAGGAGGAAAAAAGGCAGCAATTCTTCTTTCTCAAAGTCACAAGATGAACACTTACGGGGTTTCTGTGCCTTTTTTCCCCCTCCTCCACAAAATAAATAAGAATCAATGTTGCCTCTACACAGTTATTAAACAGAAGATATATCTAACAGCTTATTTTTTTAAATATATATATATGTATATATAAATAACCAAGACCTAGTAACTGAAACACAAAAAAAGGTCCCCATCCACCCAATCCCACCCTCCTCCCCTTCAAACAAAAACAAAACCAAACAAAAAACAAAACAAACAAAAGCAAACAAAAAAAAAACAACAAAACAACAAAACAAAACAAAACTTTATAAAAATATCTTGCAGTAATTTTTAAAGTTTACAGTAGCTTCGTGATTAAGTCTCCCATTGCCCTGACTCCACCTTGTCTTGCTCAGATGAACTAAGTGCCAGTGATTTGCACACACACACACACAGGAAATAAAACCCAAGATAAGTCTCTTTTCTTCCTCCTCTTCGTCTTCTTTTTTTTCTTTTCTTTTTTTTTCTTTTTTTTTTTTTTTTTAGAAAAAAATCACCCAAGCCAACAAATGAAATCAGTAACTTAAAGAAATAATAATACTGATATCAATGCAGCACTAGCAACACAACAATTGCCTCTAAATGCAGGGTGTGGTGGAGGATCCAGCTGGTGGAAGAAGGTCCCAGCACGGTGGCACAGTGGCAGGGAGCTGACAGATGGGGAGGAAGGTGTCGAAGGAGGAACAGCAGTAGCAGCAGCGGCAACTGTGCCTGGTGGTGGGAGAGACAGTCCTTGGCAGAGTTGTGTCCCTCTTCTTTGCTACCAGAAGTTGCCTTTTCCCTAAGTTTTAATGTTTTGTTTGTATGTGTTTATTCATTTAACCCCCTCTCCCTCCTAAGTTTACTCCTTTCCCCTTCCAGCAGGTCAAAAAGCAAAATTATACAGTATAAAAAAAAAATAATAAAAATTCTGTGTCTATATATATATGTCTGTATGTATGTATATTCATATGAAAATATACACACATATATACATGTATATATAAAAAAAGAGGACAAAAGAAAAGGAAAAGGTGGTGGGGAGAAAAAGAAGGTTAAGAAAATCCAGTGATGAAGCTCCCCAATTTTGTCTTGGTTCAACGCTTAGTTTTGAGTTGCTCCTGGCTGGTTTCTGATGAGAACGCGCTCTGGATTCACAAAACACTGCGCTCCCGCTACCCCTTCTCCTTCCCCGCACCCTCCCCACCAGGCTGTGTTCACCTGCGCGGACAGAAGTTGCCAAGGGAAAAGGTTTCACTCCAACAATTTGCAACCTCCTTTCAGCCCAGACTGTGCAATCCCATAACTGAGCAGATCTCTCTTGTGGAGCACCAAAAAAGAAAAAAGAGAGGAAAAAAAAAAAAAAGGCGTGCATTGGGGAGGTGTTTGGGGAGAAGTGGGGGAGAAACCCACTTCCCGAAGGGAGAGGGGAGGCTGGGAACCTCAAACAGGACTGGTCCTTGGACAGTCTACATCGGTTGCCTTCCGTCAACAAGTGTCCGCAGAGCACAGAAGGTGAAGCCGTGGCTGACATGTTAACTTTTCGGGATAATTCCTGGTAGCAGAGCGGAAACAAGTGGTGTCGTCAGAAACACAGAGAGAGCATGAACAGAACAAGAAACAAACCAAAAGAAAACAAAAAATAATAAAAAAAAAAATCAGGAAGGAGAAAAAAGAAAAACATTCAAAAAAAGGGAGAAAAAAAAAACAATAAAAAAAAAACACAACCCAAGATCTGTCGAACTGGGTTTGTCATCTGTGCTACCTTTTCTTTTCTTTCTTTTCTTTTCATTCTTTCGTTCGTTTGTTTTTGTGTTTGTTTCTGAGATATATATTATATATCATATATAAATATATATATGTATATATATACAGTCATTCCTTCATACAAAATTTGTCTATAGACAGTTTTGTACTGTTGTGGCAAGGTATATACATCCTTCTAGTTTAGAGGCTAGCTTGCTAAGGAATATTCTTTCATTCTTTCTTGCTTTTTTGTTTTTGTTTTTGATTTTTTTTCTAAGTTATTTAATTTTTATGTGTTTATTTAAGGTTGGTCTTGTAGGCCGACTGATGAGACCATCTTTGCCTTGTCTTTGCCAGCAGGGTACTTATTGTCTCCTCTAGACCCATAGTCATTAGAACCGGAATCGCTCCGCTTGCTGTTTGCGCTATGCTTGGTTGGCGTGCCGGGGGGATGGCTCACCTGCCCGTTCTTCTCGTCTGAAAAAAGTTGTTTAATTACGTCAAAGAAGTTACTCAATGGGCTGCCTGGGTACACAAAACAGAGGAGACAAAAAAAGAAAGAAAGAAAGGAAGAAAGAAAAAAAAAACGAGAGGGAAAGAGAGAAAAAGAGGAGAGAAAGAGAGAGAACAAACAAACAAATGAACAATGGGGCTTTTAACGAGAAGAACATGATGAGGAGATCCAGAGCCACGTGCGTGGGGGTGTGTGGGGGATGAAGACAATGAGCAGGAAGAGGAAGAGTGTTTAGGATGGGACACCTACAGAAGTAAAGAGGCTGGGAGCACAAAGCACCTAGGTGGTAGGTCCTGGTTTTCCTGAGAGGGTGGGTACAGCTGTCTCACCTAGCAGGAGGACACAGTACCATGTTGAACTGGTTCAGTCTGCTTGGAGTCATTTGGCCACTCCGCAATGAGACGTCAGTGAATGTAATGCTGAGTACAGGCAAATCCCCTCTTAGTGCTGCTGTTCCATTTTTTTGATGTGGTCACCAATTGATGCCTTGCTTTGCAGCTCTGCTAAGTTCTCTGGCTGCACTGGGCATTAAGCTTTTCTTGCTTACTTTCTGTTTCGTTCTGAGTATCTGCTTGCTCACCTTTCAGACACTAAGCCTGAAGTGCCTGAGTGCTCTAAGGGAGAAAATATGTGAAAAATGAGAGATGGCTGACATGACTACTTCCATCTGTATGTGTGATTTATGGCTTGTGCTTGCAAGCCTCTAAGCAAATTCACAACTTTCTTACAACAGGCACCTTGAAATGAAGATACTGAATACTATGTAGAAGCAAACTTCTCTGGCTGTAAATATTTCTGGGACCTACTAGGGTCAAGAACTACTTCCTCACTGTCCTGAATTTATGTTCTTGCTACAACACAGCCTCCACAACACTGACATGACTTTCAGTGGAGCTCGGAGCCACAGAAGGGTGCAGGGTTTCATGTTGGTGGAAAAAGTATCTCATTAAGCCAGCCACTGGAGCAGGCCGCAGTGTTAACATGGGTTGGGCACTGTGCACATCAGAATACAATCTTTCATGCCATTTGGAAAAGTCTCTTTGCCTGCCATTTCACCTTTTGATCAAATCCAAGATTCACTTTACCAATGCCACTTGCCACTGTGGAGCATGACGCATCACAGACCCACCTCCAGGGGCCAAAAGGAACAGACAGACCCTGGATTGAATGCAGTGAGTCTTCTTCTAAATCCCTTCGAACGCAGGTATCTGAGACCTCTCAATTCACAAGGCACAAGTGGTATGTAAGGAGCCTTCATGTGCTTGACTAACAGCTATGTGCTGGGTTTAATTATGCAGCTCCAGGGCAATTGCATGCAACACCTTGACTGGTGAGAGCCAGACAGTTGACAGTCTTCATTTAATTCCTGTCTGCTGTACATCCAATGCAGTGAAAGACCCAGCTGTGTCTCAGCATGAGTGGTAGCAACCCAGGAACAGTCCACGGAGGTTTCAAAACACAACAGCTTGGGCTGAAGCTGTGCAGCAGGCTCTTTTCTCATGCTGGAGCGCCCACTGTAGCAGTGGCTACACCTCTGTGCCACCATATTTTTGGACCTCCAGGCAGCAGCGGTGTGTGGTGTTTGTCTAGTCCTGTATGAGAGGATGTGTGGAAGGTCATACCCGAGGAAAGGTTCTGTGAAGCTACTGAGGGAAATGGACCAGCAACTATCATAAAGGTAGCCCTTGTGGGGCGCTTCTAGTCCCTTGTAATTTTCCTGGACTGGGGGATTAATCCTGACCAGACATCTGAGGGGTCACAATAAATCCTCTGTACGTGGGTGTTGAAAGGACTGGTTCTTATCTAACCTACACCATACAGGTGATGACTGTTTGTGATCATTAAAACCCCATTGTGCTTTTCTCAATATTGGCACTGTTGGCTCCATTGTTCTAACAAATTCAAATCATCTCATTTACATCCCACCTAAGTAATTTCGTTCTCTGGCTCCCAGAAGGAAACAGGCTCCTGGTTTCTGCCTTGCAGTGACGCAGAATGCTGTGAGGGGTGGGACCTTCCTTCCCTGAGATGGCAACATCCAGTCCAGAGCAAAGGGGTTTCTGCGTAGCAGAGAGCACCCCTTATTCACAGTTAGTGGGCACTGGTGGCCTAGTAATATTCTATTTCCTTTCACTTTTATTCCACACACAGGCAAATCAGTTGCTACAGCAGGCAAACACTGTCTCTGTGTGGTAACTTTTCTGAAGAGCTTGTTGAGTGCTGTCTTACTCTCTAATGGAAGATACTAGACTGAACATCAACTGTTCTTCTGCAAAGAAAGTGCAATTTGTAGGATTTGTGTCCTGCAAAACAGAATGTGTTACTTTTTCTTCTGCCCCATGCTGGCCAGGTAGTTGTTGCTTTCTTCTGCATGGTAATAGACACTGAGAGAAACCAAATGTCTGGCATATAGAGTGAAGGATCTCAGTCTTTCTTATCTAATTCATTTCTTGGCTTCCTGTACTTGCAGTTTCGTGTTTAACTTACTGCTGGCCCTGGTTCTATCTGTGCATTCAATTATATCCACGCCCCAAGCAAATGGCTGTTAGTTTCTGGAAGGGCATCATTCAGCTAACAGACTGAAGCCTTAGAGATGGGCCTGAACAAACAGCCAGGCAACACATGTATCTCAATTTCTGGCTAAGATAGGAAAAGCTATCAAACTCTCAGCCATTTCTGGGTCAGAACTCTGTGAGCTCCACCTGCCTCCTTCCACGTGCATGCAAATGCTTTGGAAAGGAGATATCTCTTCCAGATCTATGACGTCTAATTCCAATTTTTCACTGAGCCTCTCTAAAACTGTATTAGGTTTGTGGGTGCATGCTCTGCTCAGACTCTTTTCTATCTACTCAGACTCATTTCTAATTCTTTTAAGTGAATACTCTTTTTCAGAGAAAAAAAAAAAAGCAAACACTCAGCCTTGAATGCAGGAATGTGGGCAGATCTGGCTCTTATGTGGCTTTGGACCTCTCATCTTCATAAGCAAATGGAGTCAGCAGAGAGAATGAAAAAGAGCACTGAAAAAAATGCTGGAGAGGGAAAGACTGCTAGGTTGGGAGAAAAGGGGAGGGGAATATCTCCAATTATTCAGCTGAGCAGTTTATTCAACAAGCTTAGAGGGAAAGAAGAGGGCAGAGTAAGCAGTGCTCTGCAGGAATTGGGGAAATTTTACTTTTCACGTAGACAGGAACAGCAGACAAAAGTACAACTTGCAAGAATGGAGCAATAAAACATTTTAAAAATTGTATATAAATATCTTGTACTTGATGAGTTCCAATACAGGATTTTTAATCATCCTATTAAAATATGCAGCCCCTGTTTCATCCACCCTTTCTCCTCCCCATGCCCTACTGGCTTTCAAGTGCTTGGAGATTTACTGCAGCAAGAGTATTTAACAGTCTGCTTTTCTTTGCCTGTATCTCTACTGGATTCCTCACAATCAGCATTTTCAGGTAAAATTTTAATGGGAGGTAAGAAATCCTTAGGGATATTTAAAGAGAGCTACTGAAAAACAAAATAGGCCACTTCACTAACCCTTTCCTTTCTTTGCCTTTTGTAGTATCTGGCCTTGTAACTAAATACTTGGTAATAATACTTCCCTATCTTGCAGTCAAGAAAGAACTGATCCTATGCCAAGCACTATAGACAATCACAGCATTGATGTTATCTCCAGGACAGCTTGTTAGCCCACTCTTGGGCTGGTCTAGATACTGGTCTTTGAATAGACAAAGAGTCCTCACATTTCTCTCTGGGGATATGTAAACATGGGACAGCTATGCTGGAAGCATGAAAATGGTGAGTGGTGTTGCTTCTCTTAGTTCTCAGTTCCCTTTGGGCTTATACGGCCAGTAAAACAAGACCTGAAAGTGCAGGCAATGATGGATTAGAATAGCTTTCTCAGCAATCCTCCACTCCTAGCATTCAGTGCAAAATATGTGACAGGCTCCTACACCTGCGAGTCCATCTGGGGGCCTCAAAGAGGCTGCCTCTCTTATTTCAGAAAGTGAGATGACATCCCATTTCCTCTGGACAGGGATGAAGGTTTGGCTCACTGATTCTTCAAAACTTCCCTGGCATTTCATGCATCCGTAACTAAGGTCTTCTTTCCCCTTGAGAGCAAACGTTCATCAACACAGAGCAAAGACAGCGTGAAGGGCAGCAAGGGTGAGAAACTGCAAGAAGGATCAGAGGCAGGAGGGGAGGTTTGGAGCATTAGGTTTACATCTGTTAGGAGGAGATGGATATGTGCATTTTTGAGTTAGTCCAAGGAGCTGGATGCTGCAAGATGGGGAAGGGGAATGAGTTTGAAAACAAGCACTGAAGCTTATGAAAGGGTCATGTATTGAAGGGACACTAAAGAAACAGATTTATGGAGAAGGTACTGGTTTGTGGCACCTGTGTGCAGCTGTCATGGCCAAATATCTCAAAAGGAGTCAAAATTGTGAATGTATTTGAATACAACAGGCACTAAAAGGAAGAAGTAGGGCTGGGAACAGACACAGAGGTACAAAGAAGCTGGGCAGATGGCTTGTATCAGCCCTCAGAGTATTCTGTATCTCATTTGCTGTTCCTAAGAAGTCTGGTGACATTGACTTAGCCCCATTGGCGTCACGTGAAGTTGAAGTGGCACAGCCAGGTTAAGAGGAAAGAGAGGAGGAGGTGACTCACTCCAAGCACCAGGAGTGGCACCAGGAGAGGATGCATCTGCTCTGACCTTGAAAAAACCTTCCGAGTCCTCCAGAGGAAACTAACAGGAGGTGGTGAACAAGCAGCTTCAGGACAACCTCGGAGGCTTCAGTCCCTGACTGTAGCCTGCTGTTTTGTAACATTTTAAGACAGTCAGGTAAGGACTTGGTCCTGTTTTCATTCAAGCAAATGGCAACATTCCCATTGCCTTATTGGAACCAAACCCCGAGGCACTTTCTTGTCCTGTGAAACCATCTCTCTCACATCCATAACAACT